AAAATTATTTGCTAGCATACGCAGGACCATTATTGGTATTTCACTGGAATGAGAGTCCTAGAAAGGAAATATATAAAGAGCGATTTGACAAAGTTATGTTCCAGACATGATACGGTGGTATTTCTCTGGAGTGTCCAGGGTGCCATGTCATGTCTGGGGCTGTGCTCTGTAGCTGGCTAGTTAGGGAGAGGTATATAACCTGTGGTGCATTCTGAGCACAGATCTCTACATACCTGGCAACAGAGACGATCCAGACCCAGGCGGCTATAATGTCCTTCATGACTAATTGTGCTCTGGAAACTTGGAATACTGTATAACATAATGGCTCTGGTAGAGGATAGGCTCTCAGGAGCCTCCTCTAACTGCTGCCCTTGTCAGAGTCTCATCTCTTATGAGACCAAGGGCAAGCATAAAATTAAAACGCAGACAAAACCCGATTCGTTGACAATGGCCATGGCTTCTAAAGATTTAAACTTAAGGCTTCAAATGTAAGATTTGGGATCTTTAAAAATCAGGACAATTTAATTATGAGTTTGAAGCACCTGAGGAAAAAAAATCACAGAAAATTACAAACGGATTGTCCCATACAAAGAAAGAGAATGTGAGTCTGGGCATGAGTTTCACAGTCCAGTGCTTGGGATGTGGGCGGTCCCCGGCTCATCTGCATGAATACTGACTCTGGCCCAGTCTCGGACGTGTGCACGTTAGTTACTGTCCCCCAGCACGTCCTGCGGGAGTTCCTGTAGGTTCCAGGGAAAGTGTGGTGAGTGTGGGGAGCTTTACCAGCCAGTGCCAACGGAAGCTCTTTTGAGGGCCTTCAGATCCAAACAGGTTTTCAGAGTAGTGCTGAGACATCGTCTGCCTTGTTCATTCTCTCCTGAGTGCATAACTCAGCGCGCCGGTATTTTCACGGGACCCACGCTCCAGGTCACCAAACTGTGCCCGGGTGAACGATCCATTCAAGGTGCAGGTTGGGAATGTGGCAGAATACAAGAGTTCATTGATACGGGTCAGATTCCACACTTGAGTGACCCACAGAGGAACTGCCACTGGTCGGAGAAGAGAGGCCGTGCTTATCTGAAAAGGCTTTCTCTGGGTGAGACTGGCTTTTCTTCAGGTGCCGCAATCAGAACCACAGATCTTAGCAGATTGAAGGCTACAGCAGGTACAAGTCAGCCAGTGTTCTGGAAAGAATTCTGTTTTTCAGAATATTTTATGGGAAGCAACTCTGCCTGTGTGACTCGCGCGTGTGTGTGTGTGTGTGTGTGTACGTGCACACGCATGTGTGAAGGTGTGTAGCACTGTACTCCATAAACCTATCAAAAGGCAGCTATCAGACCACTGATTGTTGAACACTGAGGCTCTCCTGTCTCCTGGCCTTTCGTAGCCAGGCCACCATGAATGCCCCGTGTCCAGGGGAACGGAAGGGAGATCACCATGAGTGGAAATGCTGGGGCAAAGGGCACCTAATCTCACTTTGAAAGATGTTGCCTGATTGTTCTTCCGAGAGTTGGTGGTGGCTGCTGCCTTCCTTGTGCTCCTTTAGATGAGCTTGGGGCGGGGGCAGTGAGAGGGCTCAGTGGGTAATGGTGTCTGCCAAGCCTGAAGACCTGAATTCGATCCTTGGGACCCACATGGTGACAGGAGACACCAGTACCTGAAAGTTTTCTCTGGTTTCTACATTCAAACCATGGCACATGTGCTCCTGACCCCAAAGATATAAATACATATAAATTTTTAATTAAGAGAGAAGAGTGAGCCGGCCTCGGAGTGTGTGGTTTGGGGACTGGGAACATGATCTTCATGGAAGCCAGGGATTGTGGGAAGCAGGGCTTTCTGGAGACAGAAGGCGGTTCCCTCCTGGGACATGGCTGCTACTTTTAATCTCATCGGTTTTCTCTGCTCTCCTGTGTGTTCCTCACTCCGGGAGGCTCATAGAAATTGGTATCTAGGTCAGTGTGTTCTTAATGGCTCCATCTGTGAGGCCAGAGTGCAGGAGAGGCAGCCTCTCCCTGAGTACCCGGGTACCTGGAGCCCTACACCCTCGACAGGCGTCTGGTGTGCTGTGTAGGGCTGCCCTGTTCTGTCTCTGGCTCGCTCTGGCTGAGTGAGAGGAAGGAAGTGATTTCTCCAGATGGGAGAACCTGAGTGCTCAGACCGCTGGCTCTGTGGCTAGAGCAATGGTGCGCTTTCCACTGGCCATGCGCCCGTCTGGAGCTCCAGCTGGGCCTGGAGATCTGGGACCCAGATAGTGGAGGGGGAGCAGGTGGTGGCAGTGGCAGCTGAGTGACACCTGCTGCCCGGCCTGACGGGCTTGAGTCTGTGCTCGCTCTGGTGGCTGCAAGGAGCCTCTCTGTGGGGGCAGCAGGAGCAGGGCTTGAGTGGGTGCCTGGCAAACACAACTTGTAAGACGGCGACACAGATGTTATTCTTCTCTCAAGAATTTATTTCAGGAGAAAGCAACAATTCAGCCGAAGCAATGTTATTTGGGTTTGGGGTAAAAATTAAAGTACGAACCCCTGGAACAGCATGAGAATTGATTAGTAAATTATAGTTATGTAATTTAGAGATATTAACATTCTCAGCCCAGTGGGCAGGGAGGTGGCACAGTGGGTAAAGTGATTGATTTACAACCATGAGGACCTAGAGTTCTCCTTTCTAGGACTCTTGTGAAAACCCAAATGCATCTAATTTTCCTTTGTGTGCGTGCACACGTACATGTGTGCATGCGGGTGTGGTGGGTGCAGAGGGGAGAGGCGGAGTCTACCTGAAACTGAGCAACAGGTTTACAGGGGGATCCTGTCTCAAAATGAAGTGGAAAGCAATAAAGACAGACACTTGTCATCAACCTCTGGCCTCCATGTGTGCACAACTGAGCGAGTGGCCCCTTCCCCATACACACCACACGTGCACCTAAGAAATACAATAGAAGTTAGAGTTGTCATTTGTAGGCACAGTAAACTTTCATGCGGTGCCAGAAGACTGTGGGCCCAACGTCTGCACACAGTGGGTCCCGTCGGTCTGTTCAGTGGTGAGCACTGGACAGGAGGTGTCCCAGGTGTGAAATGGGGGTAAAAATAGCGTAGAAAAACATTGTGTAACTGCAGTGGTTTGAGTTTGAGTTTTACACGGGACTAGGGTTTTGGCCTGTGCCCTATGCCCAGCACAACTAGAAGAGTTGAGAAATGTTAATGTCGGGGACCAGCCTCAACAAAAATACCTCTCGCCAGGGTAAAGGTGTGGGGATTTAGAAAATATTAGTAACAAATATGAAGACGCTTATGAAAATAATAAAATGGAGAAACACATCAGCTAGTATCAGGAGGGAATTTCAGTGAGTACTAAATTCGCCCATGTTTAATTCCAATTGCTTTAAATACCCCAGACCCCAAAAGGTAGGAGTAAGACAAAAAATACGTGAACATGATACAAGAGGGCTGGAGAAATGGCTCACGGATTAAGAGCACTGACTACTCTTCCAGAGGTCCTGAGTTCAATTCCTGGCAACCACATGGTGGCTCACAACCATCTAAAATGAGATCTGGTGTCCTCTTCTGGCAATGTCGGTGTATATGCAGAGCACTCATATATAAACCATAAATAAATAAAGCAAACTTAACCAAAGAAGGAAATAAATTTTTTTTAAAAAGTGACCCAAGAAAATAAACATATCAACTGAAGGTCACGGGCATGGCCATAGTTAAACATTCTGTTTCTAGAACAAAACAAGTCACGCTCACACCCTAGACCAAAACATTCTGTAGGCAAACCATTCCCTGGGTGGAATCCAAGGTTATCTCCATAGAGAACTGAAGCCTTAGTTGGATCCTTAAACATTTGTTTGAGGTAGAAACCTATCTGCTTCTCTATACTTGAAATAGGAGGCCTGGCTATTAGCCACACCTGTTGACAATAACCTTGAGAGAGCAGAACTCTCTGGTGGAATCTAGGTGGGACCTTTGTTTGAGACAAGTACAATAACCTTGAAGGACTGGAGGTAGTTCCAACTCTCTGACCTCTGGTCAATGTGGAAATAGGCTCACATTTTCGGGTCTTCCCAAGTAAAGCTGTGGTTAAGAACAGTATTGCTGCCTGTTCTGAACCCTTTACTTTCCTCCGGAAAAGACCTACCCCATTGTGGTTTAGTTTTAACATTTATGTATGTGTGTGTGTGTGTGTGTGTGTGTGTACACGTACACGTATGTGTGCAGGCATGTGGGATTTTGAGTTGGTTGTCTCCTTCCACCATTTATGTTCTGGGGATCCAATCAGGTCAGCAAGCTTGGCAACAGGCCTCTTTACCCACTGGGCCATCGTTAAGACCCCGTGTATAAACTGAAGTTTGGAGCACAGGCTGGCCTCAAATTAGATCTATAGCCAAAAGTGACCTGCTCTAAGGGCTGACAGACCTGCTCCAGCCCCGACGCAGAATTCCAAAGCTGAAAAACCCTTCTCAGGAGTGAAGGTGATGGGTGTGTGTGTGTGTGTGTGTGTGTTTGTGTGTGTAAAAGATCTTTTTAGTAACTTCACACACACTCTGAGGGTCACACTCCTCACTTCACACACTCTTTACTGTTCTGTTTGTACTCTAACAATCCTGTCCTACTTCGTGCTTCTTCTCCAGTGAACCAGCCATGGTCCTACCTGGCACACCCTTGCAAGTGGTCAGTGAGACAGGACTTGCTCCTTAGTTTGGCAGCAGCTGAGGTTGAGAGGAGAGACCTGGCAGAAGTCAATTGAGGTGGAGGACATAAATGTACAGATACTCACACCTTACTGTTCTGATTCCATGGAAGTGTGGTTTGGACTTTGACTTAGGCCAGATGGGTCAGCCAGTGACCCGGGGGTTTGGAGCCAGCTCTGGGCTTTGCTCGCCGTGGAAGGTCTGCACCCTGATCCCAGCAGCACAGAAACCGGTCTACTGGGAAGATGGCTTCAATTGGAGGGTGGGGGGAGGAGAAGGTGCATACTCCTTCATTACAAATAAGTCACAGCAGAGATCAAGATTTCAAAGGAAATTTATTGTTTTTGAAAGGTCTGAGGGGGACTTTACAAGAGTCTGAAGCCAGTAACTACAAAGGGTGATAAATAAAATACAAAGCCAGTATGTTGTGGCAAATTTCCAGAAAACACATTGAAAATCTTTACAGTTCAAAACTGTTTCACTTTATACATAATTACAATTACTATACAGCGCTTGGGTTTAACCCAACTTTTATTTAATAGGGCTTAGAACAGAAATGTCCATACAGCATTTGGAGACGACTTAACAAGAACAGAGGTATAGATGTATGTTGCCCACCTTCTGTAGTGCCCAGGCCTCAGGAGGAAACCTGAGACTAACCAGCTGGGTAGGCCCATCCCAGCAGGTGGCAACCAAGGTGGGGCAGCTGATGCTAGAGGGTCTAAGGCATGGGTTCGGTGCTTCCTGCAGAGGCCCTCTGGCGTCTGTGGCAGCGGCACCTGCATGGTTTCGAGGCAGGGCACACTTCAAGCAGTGGGGCCACCCACCTTACACCTTAGTGAGATGGAGCAGTAACTCAGGACCTGTCAATCTCTTGACAAATTAAATCCCGTGAGTGCAGGAAAAGGCCTCTGCTGCCACCCCTCCCCCCTTTCATGGCAGCATTAGAATACTTTGCATATCTAAACCTGGCCAGCAGGCAACAGACTCCAAAGCTCTGGTTAACTAGGAATGTTATGCTACGTGAAAGAAAGCGAGGAGCCAAACACACTGTGCCCTTGGTCTCCACAGGGATGGCCAGGGTCACTGCTTCACCCAAGGGCACCCATGCTCAGGTGTCCAGGCATGGAAGCACACTCTCCAGGACTGTCCTCTGGGCACAGGTTGGAGCCAACTTAAGTCCTATGAAATACTGGAAGCCTTGGCAAGAGAGCCTCAGGGACAGAAGGACACCGATTAAAGGCCTGTATGGGCGACTCTGGGCAGGCTCTGGCCTAGGGGCCAAGGTTCTCTGCCTTGTACTAAGCCTGTGCACACTGACAAGAGGCTGTGAAGAAAACCAGTGTGGGGTGGACAGGGACTAGGCAAAGGGCAGCGTTAGTGGTGTAACCCCCAGAAGATCCAGTTCGTACCTTTCGAGAAATCGATCTTGGTGAGGGCTTCCCTGCCGGAGACTCTCGTGGGGGGTGGGGCTTGCTGGCGCCGCTTGTTTTAGCCTTCCCACTTCCAGAAAACAGTAAATAGGTCTGATTGTCTCACAAATGAAGCCAGCTGAGAGGCCATTTAAAGTGCACACGTCACCCAGATGGGATGACAACTACTGAGATGATTTTAATTTCTGAGAGAAGATACAACCTCTAGAAAGTTCACTAGATTCCACAATGCGGGGGGGGGGGGGCAATTTACACCCGTCCCCGAAAGCAGTGATTTCTTTAGCCTGATGAGGAAACATCATTTCCTAATATGGGCAACAGGACAGGACACAATCCCGGTCCCTAGAAAACCACCCTTCTCTTTGAGACTCCCACGTAAGGCTTGGACTCAGCTATGGCAGTCTTCAGGGTCCTAAGCAAGAGCACAAGCGGTGATTCCCAAAGTGCGCAGACTTCTGAGAGGGCCAGATGGTGCAGGCAGGTAACACAGTTCTTGGCAAATGGTTCTCTTCCTGGAGGAAGGTGGGCGGCTTAGGGGAACTCGGATTACTTTCTCTTGCTCTGAACTTCTCCCAACTCTCACTGACCATTGTTTTGGGGAGTGTGGGTAAAGAAAAATTGGTTTTTAAAAACAACCAAAGCAAGCAGAACACAACACAGCTGGTTGGGCATAGAGGACACTTGAGGGCAGGAATGAAGTTTCCCAGGGGTGTACAGTGGCTAACTGGAGGGTGGCCACTGGTCTTCCTCTGCACAGGGCAGGGGTTGGTACCAGATCCTTCCCTCCTAGCAGACATGTTCTGCTGTGGAAGGGCACAGCCTCTCTGACAGGGCATCCAGAGGCACGGACAGGGACTACCACTGAAACCCTGTGTGGATCTGAGGCATGGCAGGCTCTGGACTTGGAGAAGGAAGCAACTAATTTCTTGCTGTTGAAATTCTTGAGGGAAGTACATCATAGCTTTAGTAGGGAAAAAACCAAAACAAACAAAAAACTAAAAAACCAACCCAACAACAACAAAAAACAGGCTTTAAAGAGCCAAAATGGCTTTATCAAAAGGAGGCAAAGGGAGCTGACGGGCAACGTTTATAATCTCCAAAGAAGGATGAACACATTCCTTATGAAAAAATGGGCATGGGAGGGAAGGGTCCAGCTCCCATCTCAACCCTCCAGTTTCCCTGGGGACCTTCATGCACTTGGACAGACACTTCATTCTCTGTACTGAAAAGATGGTTCAAACTGTTGGGCCAGTACTGGTTCACTTTCAAAATAAAATAAAACAAAACACAAACACAAAATAAATAAAACAAATTTAGGCTAAAAACTTTAAACCAGAACTCTTTCAAGTGAACTGAAAGATAAATATCCGCACCTGCAAGTCCAGCTTGCAGGTCATCAACAGCACCACGGTACAGGTTTGTCTCTGCACAGCTGTGTGCAGAGCCCTGCGCTTCTGAGGGCAGCTACATGAGCCTCGAGGGTCCATTACCAATCAACTGTGCTGCACACACGAGCTGGTGAAAGCCTCAAGCATGCATGCATCAACACATGCAGGGGGAGCGGGAGGAGAGACACAGGCGGCATTTGACAGCTTCAAGGATAGGAGCACAACCAAGCAAACTGCATCTGAAAACCGTATGAGGAGGCCTTGTGACTGGAGAGAGTACAGCAGCCATGCTTCAAGGCCTGTCTGTATTGGCAAAAGGACCAGACAGACTTAACTCCTGTACCTGAACCTATGTTTCAGCCAGTAATTCTAGAGCAGGGCATGGAGAGGCCTGGGGGACGATCTAGCCCCAGGCAAGTGGCTGGGAGCACCACCAGGGTGCATGCTTTCTCATAGGGAGTCCAGCAACAACTAGAAGGTGTCATACTGGGGACAGTGCTGCAGAGCCCTCTCTCGTTCCTCTGTGCCCAGAGCATTTAGACAGGCACTGAGGACAACAGTATGCTTCTTCCTGATTTGAATATGAGCGAGACAGTTAGCTCAGCCTGGAATACGGAGATCCAGGCGGTGCAGACTATGAGCTTTTCGTACACATCAGACCTCTAACTGGTTTCCCAAACATTTTGTTCTTCTTCCTAAAATAAAATGAGGATTATATACAAAGAGGGGCGGTGTGTGCACAGGGGCCATTTCGAGGAACCCAATCTCAGAGGCCCACAGGGTGAAATACTATGCATCCGCATGCCACCTGGTCAGTCAGGTGCTTGCTCTTGGCCTAAGCTACCCTGATGTGTAAGAACAGCTGTGTACACAGCTGGTGTATTCCACACGCACACGGAGATGGTCATTGTCCATAGATGAAGTCTGCACTACCTGCTCTTTGATTCTGGTTACGTTCCCCACATACAAGGCAGGGTGTCAGACCTCATTTGGAAAACCCCTTTGAGCCTCTAGGGAACCCTGACACGTGTCAAACTATCACCTATATCTAGGGTCACTATGTTCAGTGTAATACCCTGAGTAAGGCCAGGCCCACCCAAGTCCTGGGCAGTCACGGATCATGGCCCAAGTGGAGTCTGCGTATCCTTCCCCACCCTGACACTCAGGTGTTGCTCTTTCTTGTCCAGGACCTGGGACAGCTCAGGAGGACTGGACGCTGAGGGGCAGTGGGCGTCCAGTGTAGGAGACTTGCACATGAGGCAGCAGGAGAGCCGCCACAGTATCAGGGTTGGAGGGTGGCTGCCCTGGCAGACGAAATGGGTCAACAGAAGATCTCTTCACCCTCTGCTGATACTTCCGAAGCAGGACCATCTGCAACCATGAAATCAAGAGTGAAAACATGGCCCCTCTGACGACGTCACTTCGACCCCATCAAGTTTCTGTGTTGTGACAGGTGACTGGGCTGATTAACTTCCACAGAGTACCAGTGTTCATGTGTGTAAACGGAAGCGAGCGCTCAGTCTTAACGTGAAGGCACATACGACAAAGCATTCAGGGAGATGTGGACTACGACAGGTTCTGTGAACACTGTTGGAGAACCTCAGCTCCAGTTCCTAGCTCCTCACAGGGAAAATGCTGTGACCTGCCTGAGGCATCTAGGAGGTCAGCATCCAATCTTGCTGCTGTGTTGGTTACTAGAACAAGTGCCTAGCAAGATAGTGAGAGCCAGAATAACTCCAATTGGGGGGGGGTTAGTTCTTCAACTGGGAGAACGTTTAGAAATGAAACCTGTACTCCACATGTAGAAGGCCCAGAACACAAGGTCCTGGATGCTCATTGCACAAGCATTCTTTCTGAAAAAGATCAGGCATGTTTCCCTGCATGTATGCATGTGCAACATGTTCACACATACATTCAGTCCACAGTGGCCTGAAGAGGGCATCAGAGCCCCTCAAACTGGAGTTACAAGTGGTTGTGAGCCGCTATGTGGGTGTGGGCAGCTGCACCTGAGCTTTCTGTAAGGGCAGTGACTCCAACCTCAGAGTCACCTCTCCAGCCCTTGCACGAGCATTCTTTTCATGTGTCTCTTGTGCACAAATGCCAGAGGCTTATTATTATTTATCATTGATTATTAACTTGGAGACAAGGTCTCTCAGTGAACCTGGAGCTCACCAATGTGACTACACTAGCTTGTGGGTGAGTTCCAGGGATTCCCCTTCCTCTGCCACCCACCTCTGAGGATTCAGGTCCTCATGTTTGAATGACAAGCACGTTACCAACTGGGTCATCTCTGCAGTCCCTGCAACAAGTATCTTTTTTTTTTTGGTTTTTCAAGACAGGGTTTCTCTGTAGCTTTGGAGCCTGTCCTGGAACTAGCTCTTGTAGACCAGGCTGGCCTCGAACTCACAGAGATTCGCCTGCCTCTGCCTCCCAGTGCTGGGATTAAAGGCGTGTGCCACCACTGCCCGGCATGCAACAAGTATTCTTAACAAGTGGGCCTGGTGGGCAGTGGGCGGCTTGGCTTTTGTACATCTGAACTGCCCCCCCACACCAGCCTGTCACTACTCTCTCTTGTAGAATGCAGACTCCATGGCCACAGTGAGACAGTGTAGCATGGACAACTCACCACCAGGCTGAGAGCGGCTTCCTTTGCTCTTCTTTTTCTTCTCCTTCTTTTCTTTTGGCTTAGCTAACCCAAAAAGGCGGGTGGAAGTGGAGGTGCTGGATGGGGCCTGGCTTTGCCCCTCTGGTATTTTTGTCTGACTCGTTGAAGTCAGTATATGAAAAGGCCCCTTATCTTTGTGTGTCCGAGAGATGCTGTTCCTTTTAGGAGACACTGAAAGTTCTGAGTCCAATGACCCTGACTTGGTGATGGAAGGTGCAGATGGCAAGGAGGACTCCTCCGGATTGGGCAAGAAGGATGGGACTCGCATCAGTCTGCCATGTTTATTTGAAACCTGCATATGTTCAAGAGAAGCCATGAGCATTGTGGTAGCCACACTCTAAAGAACTTACTCTAAACAGGGCTTCATGGAACTGTCCTTCCCAAGTCTATCTATAAGCATGTTAAAACCATTACATCCAATACTGATGTCATCCTTATCTTTGATGAGGCAAAGTAAAAAGAGCTCCCACTCCCTGAAGAAACGGGATAGTCTTTAAAGACCGATTCACACAAGAGTGCAGCCATCACTTCGGGGCAAGAGATTATGGACCTGGCCAGGCTAGAGTGCTAACAGAAGAGTATCAACCCATCTGTGTTCTCTGCTGCCTGGGAACCAACCCTCCCTGTCAAAATTCTGCTGATTTTATGGGAATGTGAGTGGATCTACCCTTTTGCTAGAAAATACAACAGAGCCACTGGCTGCTCCCTGCTATGTATTTGAGAAGCTCTTCTGAAAAGGCAGTACTGCCCGAGACAGCACTTCAGTCTCCTTTCATGGCCCAAGGTCAACTGCAATATGACAAGAGTTTTAAAAGACAGGGAGGTGTGCACACTACCAAACTATCTCTCTGCCTCCAGAGTTCATGTTCCAGGGCAATCACAGATTATCTTATTACAGTAGCATCAGACGCAGCATGCTGACGGATAGAAAGCCTTCCTGAACAAGCAGTAGCTACAGAGAAAGAAGAGCATGGAAGGGCATCAAACCAAGCCAGGCTTTATATGGAGTGCAGGTGTCTGAATATCCCTGCCCAGACATCCTCTGTGCACAGGAGAGGACCACCTTCTATCGCTTGCTGGGCTCTTCCCTCCGTCACTGACCCTGCTGCTCCTCCCAACAGGCTTTTTATCTTGTAGCAGAGCTGATTTCTGCCGTCTCCTGACCACAGGCATGTAGGACCTAAGGGCTCCTCTATCTGTGGGGACACATGCCTGATTTACCATGTGCTCGACAGGACAAGATCTAATTGCTACTCTCTCAGACATGCTCCAGTGACTCTGGCCTAGGCTGGTGGCTGAGAAAAGTGCTTGCTAGCTTGATGGACCCACTGACTTCTCTGTGCTACAATCTCAAGTGTCTGCCATCCTCTTCAATCTCCTTGAGTGAGACCCACATCCTCCCCTTGTTCAGGGTAAAGCAAAGCTGCTGTATAACAGGAATCTCTCCTCTGGTCCCTTCCATGAGGTTCCTATTATCACTCTCAGTCGCTGCCTTGCCTGGTCTTCATGGTAGGATGCCCCTTCCTCCCTGTCTACTGGCCTGGCACAGGCTCTAGGTACCTGGCAGAAGTCCTGATCCATCTGTCTCTGGCTGAGCCGCTCTGCATCCCGCTTCAGTTGCTCCTGTTCTCTTTCCAGCTGTTTCTGGGCAGCCCGTAGTCTCTCCAGATCACACTGGTAAGTACCCTTCTTCTGCTGGAGCTCTTCGCGGTCCCTCTCCAGGTCCTGCTGCCTACGGCGGACTGCCTCCTCCCGTTCTGCCAGCTTGGCCTCCCGGTCTCTCAGCTCCTGCTCCCGGGCCTCCCACTCCCGCTCACGCCGGCGCTTTTCCTCCAGGTGCTGTGCCTGCTGCTTCTGCAGGTTGGCGAGGTCCTGGCGCTGCTTCTCCAGGCTCCTCTGCTTCTCCTGCTCAATGAGAGAGCTGGGGCGGGACGCACTCCTCGTGAGTACCTTCTCGCTCAGCACCAGCTTCTGGTCCTCGATGTAGCTATCTTGTTGTAGCACAACTCCCTGTCATGGCATAGAGAACAGTCATGCAACTCAGGCCCAGGAGAAAAGCCACCTGCAAGGATCCTCCCCTGACCCCACACTATGGCACCGGGACAGAATGATTCCCTGCCTCATGTTTAAAGGGTTGTTCCTGGGCAACTTTGGGCAGGTCTCGGTGTCAAAGATATGGGGATTCAATATTTGACATGCCTGGTTATCTATTTTCTCTTTAAATTAAAAAAATAATTTCCATTTATTTTGTGTGTGCATGCATGTGTGTGGGAAAGAGAGCATGTGAAGGTCAGAGGATAATCTGTGGGAGTCAGTTCTGTCCTTCTACAGTATAGGTCTTGAGGACTGAACTCAGGTTGTCAAGGCAGGTATGTTTACCTGCTGAACCAACTCACTAGCCATGGTCATCCATTTTCTGGAATTCCTGGTGGTACTTTGGGGTGAGAGCAGTGTGTCTGCTGTGCAGGAGGGAGAAGGTAGGCAGGAGACAGGTAAACTCTTGATGAAAGGAAGGGATCAGAAAGAGGGGGAAGCACCAAAGAGTATGAGAGAGCCGCTCTATGCAAACAGCAGAGAGAGAAAAGGAAAGGTTTCCTGAGTTAGACGGCCTCTGGGGAAGGTCCCTAGAGTCACCCAGCTGCTCTCCAACTGTGGTCTTGGAAGGCACACAAGATGTGATGTCTTCATTTTCTTAACCAGAAGCTAATCTTGGGGCTTATTTCCCAACAGTAACTTAGAAATCCTGAAGACTGAGGTCAACAAAATCTCTGTGCTATGTTCTCTAAACAAGCAAGTAAGACGACACATGTACCTGCAGCATGCTGAGGAGTTCGTGGAGGTGAACGATGCTCTGGACCACCTGCTAGCAAGGGAATGAACATTCATTTCAGCTTTTTTGACTGTAAGAAATACCACATGGCTACAACATCTTCAGAATACAACAAGACATTACATTTTAATGAAATCTTTAAAATGGAAAACCCTAGAGAATAACTGAGGGCAAGCAGCCAAGGTTAAAGATATGTGAATGGTGCACGTGTCTATTAAATCTATTAAAGCATCTATTAAAAGGTGCTACACAAAGCTTCCACTTTTTAAAATGGTTGACATAAAAATACTATATACTTCAAAGTTAAAAAAAAGGACACCCTGAAAATTTATATTAAGTTTATGAATCATCAAGGGCAAAGGATAAAATATTCAATTAACTTCTCTAAGAAAACTGTCTTCATTTCTGGAAAGTTTTAAGTTAAAAACTTTGGTTCACACACACATTGAACAAAAATACAGTATGTCCCACTTAAATTACAAGTATAAGGGCTAGAGAGATGGCTCAGTGGGTAAGAGCACTGGGTTTGATTTGAAGCACCCACATGACAGCTTCTAATTGTGTGACTCCAGTATCTGACCTATTCTGGCCTCTACAGGTACTGCATATATTCACAAACATACAAGGAAGCAAAGTACCCAAACACATAGAATAAAAAAAAAAAAAAGAAAGAAAGAGGGGCTGGAGAGATGGCTCAGCGGTTAAGAGTACAGGCTGCTCTTCCAGAGGTTCTGAGTTCAATTCCCAGCAACCACATGATGGCTCAGAACCATCTGTAATGAGATTTGGCTCCCTCTTCTGGCCTGTAGACAAAACATCCAGACAGAATGCTGTATACATAATAAATAAATAAATCTTTTTAAAAAAAAAAAAGAAAGAAGGAAGGAAAAAAGTCATGAAAGAATTAGAAGAAAGTAGAGGAGGAAATAAGGGATATCGGGATATCCTAGTTGGGAAACAGGACACAAATACAAATAGTTAATTATATGAAACACGAAAAAGCACTCAGGGAGTGGAAGCACAGCTCAGTGGTTGAGGTTCGGGTTCAATCCACAGAGCATATATACACACGTACAACTAAGAAATGCTGTTTGAAGTTATCAAACCAACAAAATGTCAACTTAAAAATGGTAGTGCTCAACGCTGGTGAAAGTAAAATGAAGATGGGCACACCTGGCTACACAGTAGCTCCTACATGTAGTCATACAGTGAGGAAAATCAAAGAGCCACGTAGTAAGCGTAATGTGCAAAAGAGTAGAAGAGGGATTAACCACCAGAAAGATCCAACTCTAGACCTGACAGACATAGCTAACGTGCACCGTGCTCCTGAGTCTGGGGAAAATGCCTCTGATGCCTTGAGAGATCTCTGGAAGGTCACACATACGACCATGAGACGGATGACAAAGGGGCAGACACCTAACAGTCATTACTCTTCAGTGATGGCTTATACTTAAGTTTGATGATTTATGTTACTAGTCTTTACGTTTTTCTTTTTACAATACTTAAACCAAGCTTAGTTCTGACAATTCTTTCTTACTGCTCACACCGAATCGTCACAGAAGGCGCAGAAGCCTGCGGACTGCAGCTGTGCAGTCCCAGTGGGAAGGCCAGGAGCATTATTTCCCACAGACTTCCTAAGTACAGGCGACCTTGCCAAATGGAAGAAATCAGCTGAGAGCTCATTTTAAGAGACAGCAGCCTACAGGGCCCAGGTCCTGGTTAGATCAGGGCGAGTCCCTCAGCAACCTCCTCTGCCAACAAACAGAAAACAACATCCTGTGGATTTTTCGAGGGGGAATGGGGAGGAGGAAGTAGTTTAAAATTTCAAAACAAAACTCCCAGGGGTTTAAGATAATAAACACAACAAGGAAGAATGAAATGTAAGAAACAGCCTTGAGAAACAGCCTAAAACGCATGGTTTCAAGTGTGCAGGACACACAAAAGCAAGGCTCAGCATGAGCACTTGTCTAGGAGACAGCAGTGACCCTGAAACGGATTCCAACCAGCCTCAGAGGTGTGGCTCAGTGACAGCGGGCGCTCCACGAAGCAACCAAAGCCTCTTCCCAGGGTCTAATTCCCCATCCGGCTCCCTTGTAGGAAAGGAAGTGTTCAAAGAGGCAAACTCGGTAAGAATAAGAAATTACTAAGCAGAATTTGCCACAAGTTTAACTCCCATACTGGGATCCTTTACAGGAGAAGCTGCTACAAATTCTAGTCAGCGGGCCCACACTGAAGGCACTAAGGGGGCTCCCCAGTTCTTTTACAGACAAAGTTAAACAGTTGTGGTAGCTTTCGTCTTAAACCCCAGAACTCAGGAGACAGGCACTTGGATCTCTGTGAGTTCAAGGCCAGTCTGGTCTATAAAGCCAGTTCAAGGACAGCCAAGACTACACAAAGAAACCCTGTCTCAAAAGCAAGCAAGACGGAGAGAGGGAGGGAGGGAAGGAGGGAGGGAGGGAGGGAAGGAGGGAGGGAGGAAAAGAGAGAGAGAGAAGAGGGAGAGGAGAGAGGTCTTCATTCATAGATATAACACTCACTGAAGGGAATTACAGCTGTACTTCTTAGTTATAAAAGATTAAAGACACAAGAGACTTGTAACAGCAAAACAAAAATATTCTAAACTCAATAAATATTCTAGATAGTTCATGGAATCCTTACCTCACTGTTTCTTTTAAGCATAAATACCAGATTAGCATTTCCACCCTATAAAATAACAACAAAAAATGCATTTAAAAATGAAACTCTTGATGTAGAGGCTATACTCAATGCATTTCTAAGTTACATTGTACTTCTGGATTTCCCCTTTCTCTACCATAGCACCTCCCTGGAGGGTGTGATGAAAAGTTGAACTAGTTTTTACTAAAAAACCCTGTAGAGCAGGATCACGATGCCACAGGGCATCAAACAGACTGTTTAATAAATCTGGTCCTGCGAGGGCACAGCAGAACCGGGTGTGCAAAGAGGACACTTGAAGCCAGGGGGCCCAAAGCACCAACAACACGGGCCTCTTAACTGTATGGTTTGCTCTAAGAGTGTGCTTTCCCTAGAAAATGAAATTTTATTACGAGTGGCAAGCTGATTCCTGAGCCAGATCAAGGAAAAATACTTCAAAATGGTGATGAGGTCCAAGGAAGTGCCAAGAGGTTCACCTTTAAGAGTGTTTTTCTAGGAAATCTTACCTTTTTCAGACCACTGTCTGATTCTGTTCTCCTAAGATCCTGGCCATCATCACCCTCTTCTTTCTCACCTCCTAAACAAAACATAAACAAATAAAAACAATATAGATAGCTTAGGGGTATTAATAGTTCTGAACCTTATTAATACCAAAAATAAAAAAGGAGGCCAGGGAGCCACTCGGTGGCACTCGGTCACTAGTTAAAGCTTTGCCAACGAAGAGTAAGAAAACAAAATCCAAACAGAACCTAACAAAACCAAACCAAACCAAACCAAACAACAACCAAACACAGCTTAGCACCCCTTATTTGATGCCTGGGACCAGAAGAGTGTGAACCTGAGATTTTCAGATATGTGTAATAATAAGATGCTTGGCAGTTGAGACTCTTGTCCAGACACAGAACTACTGAATGTCTCACAGACACTTGCACACAGCCTGGAGATAATGGTCTACAATGTTGGGAGCATCTTTGTGTTCTCAGTGAAACTTCCCAGTGTGGAGTTTGCAGTGTGACATGTCAGGAAGTTCTGAACTATGGAGCAGCATGGATATCAACTGTTCACATCAGAGATGCTCAAGACCTCTGGCCATAGCCAGTTCAGCTGAAGGATAATGAACATGGTTCTCATAGGAATTCCTTAGTGTCTGAGACTCTTCTGAGGACATTTACTGAAGGGACAGAGGAGACTGTGCTGCAGAAGGATAACAGATGGATCACCTTTGGAAGCACTCATCTGATGACAGTCAAATCCTCCAAAGGTCTCTGCTCTCCGGGGCAAGGAGACGGGGCCAGCCATGACTTCCTGCTCAACAGGGCTGCTGATGGACGGTCCAAGTGTGCCGCCGAGACTTCCACTCACCAAACCCTGGAGGATTTCCACTGGAGGGAAGCAAACAAAACACTCATGTGGATATCTATCTTTCATTAAGAGGAAAAAATGTCATGGCAACATGTGATGCCATGATGTACAGACTAGATCAGAACATCCCAAAGAATAGGTAAATTTTCTTGCCTAGAGGGCTCTGCTGGAAATGTAGAGACAAATTTCACGCTTCTATCCATGGGCCTGAAAAATCTGCAGGTGAATAGGAAGGCAGAGTAGTTGACTGGAGATGTATGGGTTCTAGAAGTAGAGCCAAAGCAGTGGGAAGGTCTCTGGAAATGTGAGCCAGTGTGAGAACAGCAAGTAAAACTAGGAGGAGCAGGTGGGCACCAGGGGCCAGAGGAGCTTAAGCCTCTGGATCTTCTAATCTAAATTAACTGCTAACTTGAGACCTTCCCCAGGGCAGGGTCTGTGGGAAAGACATTGATAGGAGAGGAAAGAAGAACAGGAGAGGAACAGGGGTGAGTGAGAACAAAGGTCCAGACAGAATAAGAGGTAGAAAGAAAAAAATATCTCTTATCAAGCACCAACATTTTAATAAGGCATAAAAACAATAAAAAAATATAATTAAAAAAGGTTCTTGAGTCAATTTTTTCCCCTTAGCTTTTTTTTTGAGGGGAGGGGGGAGAAAGGGTCTTACTATGTAGATCAATGTCATTGAACTCAGAGATCTGCCTGCCTCCGCCTCCTGAGTGCTGGGATTGAAGGAGTCTGCCACAAAGCCCAGCAAAAAAACAAATATTTGAAAGAAAAAATTTCATGGAAAAAAATGAACAACTAAAAAATACTGAAGTCAAATGTCATATAAAGAAAAGAGGTGGAAAACAAGAACGTAACTTTCTATAGATTAGAGCACAGCAGAAAGTGTTTCCATTAAACAAATGAGATAAACACACCGAGGAAACGATGCAAAACACAGAAGAATTTAAGTGACGATTAGAGAAAGCAAAGTTGATGCAGTAGCACCTCTGCTATCCCAGCTCAGGAGACGAGGCCACAGATGCAGGTGGAGGGCAGGGTGGTCTCCATAACAAGGCCTTAGCTTAAAAAACTAGAAGTGTAGAACAAGTGAAACTCAGAACAGGCAGGAAAAATAGTCACAGAAAATCAAACGGAACTAACACATAAGAGCAAGGTACCCCACAGACGATGGCTTAGCAGGTAGAGAGAGGATTATTAAAAGTGCAAATATTGACTGTAGGCAAGGAAGGTGCATGATCTGACCACTGGCTTGAGGAAGAAAACCGAAATCAGATAACAGAGGAAATACAAAGAATTGCAATTCAAGAACATTTTTCTGAAATTGAAAATATATGTAACCATGTTAGACAGTGACCCCACAACAACCAACCATATAGTATACTTTGTAAAAATATTTGGAGTTCAAAAAACACCCCTTGGGCTCCTAAGCAAGGAACAGGTGACTTGTATGGAGAGATCATGTGGTTATTACCCTCTAAGAATGATGGAAAATGATGCGACATGAAAACAATTAACAAGGGGGCTGGAGAGATGACTCAGAGGTTAAGAGCACTGACTGCTTTTCCAGAGGTCCTGAGTTCAATTCCCAGCAACCACATGGTGGCTCACAGCCATCTGTAATGAGATCTGGTGCCCTCTTCTGGCCAGCAAGCATATAGATAGACAGAACACTGTATCCATAATAAATAAATAAATAAATAAGAAAGACATGGATAAGCTCTATGTTTTTTTTTAAAGAAAACAATTAACAAACTCAGATAAGAAAATACGAGCCAAAGAGTTCATATCCAAAGAAACCCTGCAGCAGAAAGAGCAGGAATCAGTAGAGAAGACGGACTACCATTTTGATGGCTTTGAGGACACTGACATAAAGATGGGGCTCTACAAGCATGTGTTTAAAGAACCAATACTACAGGCCAGGCGAGTAGCAGAGTGCGAATGAATGGCTCCAGACGAGGCACGCAGACACAGTTCTGAAGAAGGAATGGAGACTGGGATACAACCTTGTATGTGGAACTGTGCTGGCAGGAATAGCAGTATTATTCTTATACAAGTACCAGTGTCAAAGCAGAAATAAGACATTAATATAGGATATTCTTTTTAATGTATTTTAATTAAAAACATTGTGTGTGTGTGTGTGTGTGTGTGCGCACGAGCACACACTTGTGTGGAGGGTGTGTGTGTGTGCGCGCGTGCGCACGAGCACACACTTGTGTGGAGGGTGGCCCATGCATGTGGGAGAGGGGCCCGAGGATAACTTGCGGGAGTTGGATCTTTAATTATATGGCTTCTAGGAATCAAACTCAGGTCATCAGTCTTTGCAGGAGGTGCCTTGCCTCACTGACCCAGTAGGGGATATTCTAATTCCATAATGTATCCCAGAGAAGAAATATCCCTACGTGGAAGGCACAGACATGTGTAAGTGATTAGGTTATATGAAAAAAGGCAAGCTGTAGTCCATAATTTGATTAGCTACATTCAAGTGGATTTACATTATTGAAGCCCCTCTCTAGCTCGGTCCACTGAAAAGGACAACATAGTAATGACTAAAAATCTCAAAGCAATGACAATAATTCCCAGGTCTTAAATAATGATCTTAAAATACTTTTCACCAGAATTCTTGAAGGAATGAATGGAGCAGCAAACAACCAAGGAAAGTTTAACTCCACAAGCAAGCTCTGTACTGTGACCATGCCACAGATAGAAGCCACAAGAATAGTGGGGGGACACTGCGCTTTATATGATGTTGAGAACTGCTCGGTGACCTAGAACCCATCAACTATGTTTAAATCCATGAATCCATAAGCAGCTAATTTTGGAGCTGGGTACTGAACACAAGGCCCCTCACGCATTCAGAGCTCTAGTTCTGAGCTACAGCTGCAGTTTCCTAACAAGTTCTACCGGAAGATTCAGACAGACCAGTTTACTGGAAACTGGCACTAAAAGGAACAGCCTCTCGCCTGCAGGATTCACCCTTTTATCCGACTGTCCCTATGTCACAGAAAAAGAACTAACTAGGGCCCGATGCTTCCTGTTCTGAACTCAACAGAGGAACACATCTTATAAAATACACCAAGTCTGAGAAATTCAGCTTCTGAAACCAGCTGTGACTGACAGACTGACAGACCTACAGAACAGAGCGCTATATGGAAAAATCCAACCAGTGGTTCAAAAAGCTCGCTAACCTAAAGATTAACTGCATGGCAAGGATGGGGAGGGCGGGCTTGCAGAATGGCTCAGGTATGCGGGACAGTTACAAGCCAACTTGACAGAAACTGAACTTATTTTGAGAGTAGAGAACCTCAATTGAGAAAATGCCTCCATAAGACTGGGCTGTGGGCAAGCCTGTAAATAGCAGCCCTCCATGGTCTCTGCTTTATTAGCGTTATTAGCTCCTGCCCTGTGTGAGTTCCTGTCCTGATTTCCTTCAACAACGGACTAGAATGTGGAAGCGTAAGCCAAATAAACCCTTTCCTCCCTAACTTGCTTTGGTCATGGTTTCAGCACAGCAATAGTAACTAACTGTCAGTAAGACAGCAGGTAAAGGCATTCACCATGGAGCCATGCCTGATGATCTTGAGTTTGCTCTCTGAGACCTAATGCCCCAAGTTGTCCTCTTACCTTCATAAACCTTCATATGTATATCATGGGATGTGTATACCCACACACATGCACGTGCACAGAAGATACACTAATGTAACTTTAAAAATAAAAAAGAAGGGGAAAGTACTTAAGTGATTATTGATACAAGTTATGGCAGCTGTTTCTGCTAGGAGGCAGTTAAGGGTGATGGGGACATGCAAAGGCTTTTAGGGTGTCTGCCACGTTTATTTCTTAGCTTGGGTAGTGATTCTACAGTGATATTAGGAAGCTTTTTATACTGGAGTTTGATAGCAACAGCAGACACTGGTAGGGGACACTAGTGTGCACATCTCTCCAGGACAGGACAGAGACGGCAATGCTGTGTGTAAATTACCTTCACTTATTGCACTTTTCATCAGTGGTCCTCCTTTGAGAGCTTCCTCTGTGTTGGAGCGGAAGAGGCCTCTCGGGCTGTGTGCTGGGGAGCAATCCTCAGGCAAGGGAGTGCTGCATTCAGTCATATCCCGGAAAATCATCTCCTTCTCTTCCAGCAAGAGGAGGATCTGCTGGTCCTTCTGTTGAAGTTGTTCTGCAGGGCAAACAGAACAAACCACCTGACTTGTCTGGAGCCGGGGAACACAAGATGACTGAGAGGTGAGCACCACCTAGTGGTGGTTATGGAAAGGCCCAAGACAGAAGAAGGGTTCTTTCCTGCGAGCACCAGCGTTTCAGACATAACTAGTCTGAGCTTTGTTTCTGCTCCTTTCCTGTAGATTTCTCAATTCACCACTCTGGCTTTGGCGCCACTTTCCTGCAGCTGTCTTAATTACGGAATCGAAAGAGTTAGGAGTTAATATAGGTCTTTTCCTGTATGGATAATGACTCCCCCCCCATCTGCAGTTGAATGGCACAGTTGGCCTCTCTCTATGCCTTCTACACTTTGCTCCTGGAGCTCCCGTGCACTGTCAGCTGCCTCTTGTCTGCTGATGATCCCCAGCAAAACCCACCCCCAAGCCTACTTTCCTGAGCATCAGACCCCAGAGTCAACTATCAAGTGACTTTCAACAAGAGGGTATTCTCAGGACGTCAGAAACCAATCTTTTCCAGTCCATTCACCTTTAGTTTACGGTTTCTTCCTTAGATGGCAGTCTTTATCTGCCAAGCTACCCAGCTTGGAAAATGGGCAGATTTTTCCTCTCCTTCTGTCCTGTCACCACGTTCAGCTGACTAGTTTTATTAATTTGTTTCTGTTTGTTTGTTTTGGATTTTTTGAGACAGGGTTTCTCTGTAGCTTTGGAACCTATCCTGGAACTAGCTCTTGTAGACCAGGCTGTCCTTGAACTCACAGAGATCCACCTGCCTCTGCCTCCCGAGTGCTGGGGTTAAAGGGGTGCGCCACCACTGCCCGGCTTTTAATTTGTTTTTTAAAGTTTGTTTTTTGACAACATCGTACATGTATAAGGTGTATTCTTTTGCCCTAACTTCTTTCCTACCCTTAGCATTCAATTCCAAGTAGTTTTCCTACATTCATGACTGTTGTCTTTGAGACACACTTAAGTTTAACGAGGTTCATCTGTGTGACTATGGGTTTGGAACTGTCCATTGGAGCCGAATGGGAACTCAATGGGAACTTAAGGCTGTATACACTGCCCTTCCTCCCCGATTGACTCTTGATGGGTCCACGCAGACAGCCACAGCTGCTGTGAAGTTGCGACTGTAGCCACCGTGCCATACTCAGAAGACAGCATCCGCAGCCTTCCTCCCTATCTTGAAGCCCTTACATTCTTCCCACTTCTTCCACCGTTTCCCAGAGCCTCAGAGGGATACAGGTCTTGCTTAGGGCCGAGCACTCAGTTGTCACTGATTCTCAGCATCTTGCACAGCCGTATGTCTGCGTTCACCACACTTGGCCCTGGGATGTTTGGCCTTTGAGGGTTCACGTTTGTCATCTGCACTACGGGAGGCAGACAAGACTACGTGGAGCAGTGGGTACTCACCGAGCAGTGCTGCAAGCACAGTGAGCCCCCTTCCCTGAGCCATCTCACAGTTCATCTGCAAACACAGCAGAGAGAAGGCCAGGGACTGCAAAGTGTAGAAGAGACTAACTGGAGAATATCTTCCTCGTTTTAACCTTAGACATGCCTATAAAGTGTTATAAAGTGTGGCGAATTCTCAATGACAAGGCAGGAATAAAGTCACCACTGTCCAAGGACAAAGAATCAGAGATCAAGAACTTTGTCCAAGGATCAGAGAATCCATATTCCCAAGTAATATTTATTTAATATTTATATATATGCATTATCCATTTTTATTTGTATAGGGCCTGCATGTATGTCTGTGCATCACATGCATGCCCATTCCCACAGAGGCCAGAAGAGGGTACCATATCCCCTGAAATGGGAGTTATAGACGGGTGCTTAGATTCGAACCCAGATCCTCTGGAAGGGCAACCAGTGTTCTTAACTGCTTAGCCATCTCTCCAGCCCCACTAGACTATTCTTACTGCATTCTCCTTTGGGAACTATTTGTTTCTCTAGTTGAGCTGACTGAGACAGTTCAATGCTCATGAAAAGACTGGCCATCTGCAACTGCAGATAAAGACAGACCATTTCCCACATTTTACCTTTTAACTCTCGGGCTCTGGTATCCAACAATTTCTTTTCTTCTTCATTCTCACTAGGAATGCCTTCATCTTCATCTCTGTTCCTAACAGCCAAAATAAAGCAAGATGAAACAAATAAACCGTCCAAGATGTCAGTCACGTGGTCACTGCCCTGTGCACATGAAGTCACACAGAGGTACGAAGAGAGAGAGGAAAGGGCGAGCCTTGGTGTCTCACTTACAGGGAGTTGATTGTATCCTGAATGATATGAATCCAGCTATTCCGCTCCTCTTTGGAGCTGGCGTGGACCTCCACCATCTCTGGATCTTTCACTCCCATGCTGATGAGGAACAGACCTTTCTCCTCATGCGCCACTTCTCTTACAATCAACTTCTTTAAGGAGATCACAGTTGACTTATGGTCCTGGGCAGAGGAGAGAGGCAAACATAAGACATGCCTGCAGTACACTCACTCTCAAAGACAGCTCTAACCTAAGGTCAGCTCAGACAGCTTTAAATGCACAACTTAAAAAACAAAATAAAATCAATTTAATCCTGTTCCAGAAAACCCCTTCAGTTTTCAGATAAGCATTTCATCCTTCTCCTCAAATGTGAACAAGAGATTCCACACTGGAGATTAGAGGATCATGGCCACTAAAATTCTGTTTTCTGCATGATGAATCTGGGAGACACATTCCATAAGTGGATTTCTATTGTGCTCAAATCATCAAGTGTTCAGGGCATTCAACAGGGTTGTGAAGGAACATAAAAATAATTTTGCAGTGGGAAGGAAAAGCAAAACACCACAAGGGCATGTAAGGAATTGATCCCAGGGATCTTCTGTGAGTCAGGCGGTTTTCAGTGGGCAGGTAAGCCACAGCTGTATGACAGACATGGTGATGTCAGCCGGTTAGACTTTATACCCAACCTAGCTGGCATGAATATGACTTATTTCAAACAGAAGAGAATAATAGTTCAGCTTACCAAGGATGCAAACACGTATTTCTGGTCTTTTTCTTGAAGGAAAACTAAAATGTCAGTGAGGAGAACCGCTTGAACCTCTGCAAAGTAGAAGTGGGAAAGAGAAGGAAAGAAGCCATTCATCAAACTGGTTTAGCAATGCACAGCGACTGGGTCTGAGTTCACCCCTCCCCCACCCCACAATGGTTTTGTAATTCTTCAGGATTCAGAGTTGACCGCTGGAGTTTGAGAGGTACTTTATTCTATCTTTAAAGTGTTTGTAGTTATTTTGTTATCCTCAATAAACTATGCTATGTAGCATTTTACAAATCTTCAGATAGCAATTGTTTTCAGCAATAAGTATAATAATAGTTAAATATACTGAAATCCCAGATTTCTCAGTTAGAAACAAGAGGACAAAATATAAATCCCAGATCCCAAATGGACAATATGAATCTCTTTACAATGTTGCTACATGGAGAAATGAGTAATTCACACCTTGTAAATCAATGTGTTTCTTTTAGTTTTACCTTCCTGGGATGTTTTGAGGGACATGACTGGACCCACAGAACAGAGGATCAAGCAAAGTTACTGGCAAAGCAAATAACTGCTCTTTATCTTAGAGCATTTTAGGCACATCACCATAAGCCTTGCCTCAGGAAAGGTTAAGTGATCAATCCTGAAAAGATACATCTTGCATTGCAGTGTGTGTGTGTGTGTGTGTGTGTGTGTGTGTGAGCAAGCCAACTTTTGTGTCTTCCAGAGTTGACTTTGGGTATTTTCCTTTATTGCTCTTTAATTTTTTGTTTTTTTACCTAATTAAAAAAGGATTTATTTATTTATTATGTATAGTGTTCTGTATGCATGTATGCCTGCAGGCCAGAAGAGGGCACAAGATCTCATTATAGATGGCTGTGAGCCACCATGTGGTTGCTGGGAATTATCTCAGGACCTCTGGAAGAGTAACAAGTGCTCTTCTGAGCCACCTACCCCTCTGCAACCACTGTTTACCTTATTGTTAGAACAGGGTTTCTCTTATTGAACCTGGCAGGAGCTTGCCATTTTTGGCTGGACTGATAGATCAGTGAGCTCTGGGGATCCTCCTGTCTCTATTCGCTGCCCCTCTTGCCCAGGTTATAGTGTACATCACTGTATCTGGCTTTTATATCAGTTCTGGAGATCTGAATTCAGGTCTTAATACACTCAGAGAAAGTCACTCAAAAGGTGACTGTTCAACTAAGCCATCATCCTGTATGGCAAAGTTTTAAGTATAAAATACTTATTTAAGAATGAAGGTGAGAGAGGCAGGTGGATCTCTGTGAGTTCAAGTAGGACAGGCACCAAAGCTACAGAGAAACTCTGTCTCAAAATTAAAAAAAAAAAAAAGAGGGTGCAATTCAACCAATGTGTTAAGTAGCGAGCAACCTTTACCACCATACTCCAGGAAATATTCTTCAGTACCACCCCCCCCCCCCAATGTTGGAGAGGAAACCCTGGGTTCTATGCATGTGAGGTAAGCAGCCCACCTGAGCTACACTCACAGCCCACAGTTTGTTTGTAATCTTTCCCAATTTCTCATAATATTAATGGGAAACGGCTGCCAGAAAGGTACCCAGAAGGGATGTAAAGCAGAGATTTTCTCCATCCTCACAGTGAACAAGACTGGTGGGTTCACACACACAAATCCCTGGGTTCACTCACCAGCCTTGCATAAAACAGGGTATGGTGGTACACACCTGTTAACCCCAGCACCTGGGGGGGAGTTTAAGGTAACCCTCAGCTGAATTTGTGATTAGTCTGGGATACCTGACATTCTCTTATCTGCTATCCCTCAAAAACAGGACAGAGACATTTTAAACTAAAGATTAAGACTCCCTCACCTCATCTCAGATAGCTTAACTGTCAACCTGACATAGCCTAGCGTCATCTGAGAAGAAAGTCTTCACTGTCTAGATCAAAGAGGCCCATGGTCATGTCTGGGGGAATGGTCTGATTATTAGTCATTGTAGAAGGCTTCAGCTCACTGTGGGTGATACCATTTTCTGGGAAGGTGATCCTGGGCTATGTAACAAAGCTAGCTGAGCAGAGCCCATGAACAAATGAGAGTGAATCAGCATCCTGCGTTTCTCCGGGGCCCTTTGTGCCTCTCTTGATGTACTTCAGTGATGGGCTGGAAGTACAGTGACCTGGAAGTGTAAGCCAAGTACACTCTTCCCTCCCCACTGCTGCGCCTATTCAGAGTGTCTTTAATCACAGCAACTGAATGGAAACTAGAACACTTGCACAGACAAACGTTAGTGAATTCAGCTCTCTTCCACTCCATTAAAACAAAACCACGTGTGGAACCAGAGTGCGTAAATGGGGGAGGTAAGCTAGGTAAATACCACGTTTTCTCTCACATGCAGATGTAAATTTAATTATTTGTAATATAAAACATGAAAGGTGTTTGGGCAAGAATGGGATCAGCAGGAGGTGCTGGTGGAGCAAACAACCATGTATGTTGTATTAAAATATTAAAATGAAACCCATTGTTTCATATGCTAGGAAAATTAATTTAAGAAATATGTAGGGCAATACAATTTGTTCTGTCTAGATTATGGTCAAACTAAGTTAAGTCTAAACTGCAGAATATAAAGTATGACACATAAAAACCAAAACCAACAGACTGATGTGCACTTCAGTGGTGCCTAAGACTCCAGCAGATCTAGATTCTATCATCATTGCCACCCCAGAAATGGAACAAAACAAACATCTTTAATTGGATCCAGGAACTTCAAAAAAAATTCATCAACTTATGATCTGACTAGTCCTCTAGGCATGCATAGGGCCATTTTCCTCTGCTCCCTCAAGGGCCATGCACACCTCCTAGCCAGCTACTCAGAACTACCAGGCTGACCCTTACATGTTTTTCCCTCTGGAAAGCAGAGCCTATAGCTCCTTGGGAAACAGTGGGCTAATTTATGCAGACCTCTGCCACAACTAGAATTCCCTACAAAGCTACACAGCAAACAGAAGCAAGGGAGTTCTCAATTTTCAGGCTAGACAACAGTAATTTTCCATGCACTGTCATTAGTTTTGACAAGTTATATTAAGTTTACTTTAAAATAATTCAGGTGTCTGCCAAAAATAAGTTCAAAAAGCCTGAGTTTCAACTTTGTTGGATCCTGAGGTTTATATGATCAGCGTTCTGGATCAGAGAAATAATAATCCCATCCCTTCCACGGGGTGTTCAATACAGTACTGGCTGTTCTTGGCAGGAGTTCACGGGGGTGTGAAAAAGACTAAATAGCAACCCCTTCTCCCCAGCGCAGGCATTTCCAGCCAGAAACCTATTGTTCTGCTATTGGTTTGACCACAGCTTTATTCCAGCAGCTGAAACCTATTTGTTTTTATTTTTGAAATAAGCTGCATGTAAAGGAAAAGAATAAAGTGTTGGCTCCAGGCAACAGCCGTTCTAGCAAACCTAGGTCCTCATGAGAAGGACAGGTATTTCTGAACTGCCAGCCTGCTTGAAAGACAGCCTCAAAGTGGTGGTGTGGACAAAGGTCTGGGCCAGCGTACTCAGACCACCACAGAACTCAGATCACCAAGAAAAGGAAGGAGCACCTTAATTCATCACAGGATATCCTAAACACTCCTGATCAGTGGTGAGGGACACTGGAACATTATCCCGTGCTTCATTTCCATGTCTTCCACAGCTGTCCAGGCACTGGCGGGTGGCACTTCCAATGCCTTTGTCACTGCTGATGTTCTCTACACGATTCCCAGTGGTGTTGAAAAAACGAAACAACAACAAAACCCCAAACCACAAAACACCTAACTCATCCCTAGTCCACATGATACCCTCTCATGGTGAGCCTATCCCACGCCCACAACCAGCAAGAACATCAAGCGCCAGCCCCTCACTGTGTGGCAGGCATCTCTGGCCGCTGGACCCCAGCAGGTTCTCATTTTTCTCATCTCCTATCACTCTCTTCAGTCTGTCTGGGAGTCCTGAGAATTTAACTTTCTCTGGGTTCCAGGCCCTCCCAACTCCATGGTTTCCTCTAGAAACACCTTTCTCTTCATTCTTCAAGACTTACCTCCACGGCCACTCATCCTTCCTCTTTATTCTGGCACCCACCACAGCACAGAAGCACCCTCTTCTTGCAGGTCTGAGGTCAGTGCCTGAGGGGACTTCTGTACTACTGTCCTAAGCATAACAGGCTAAGGGCACCTGAGTGCTCTGACTGCAGACACCTACGGCATGGTTCCTGCTTAAATGGGAAAGGAAACGTTCCTTCTGATATCAGTGTGCTACTGGGACAACAGCGCACCCATGGCCTGTTTGCATCCTCAGCTCACTGAGTCCAGGGCTGTGGTGGAAACACCAGCAGCTGCTGTGAGGTCAGAGCTCACAGAGGCAGGATGCCTATCCAGTAAAGTTCTGATGAAACCGATCACTTTCCTAAAAGTAAGATGTACTGAATAATTAAAAACAAAAATGCTTAACTTCCTTAACTTATTGTAGGTGACTGATGAAAATTGAGAAATCATAAATAAAATGAACAAGTTACCTTTAATGATCTATTTTGCATTAGAGAAAAATGACAGACGTGAATCAAAGTAATGAGGAATGTAGTTGAAATGAGTTAGACTTGCCTTTCTCTAAGGTCTCAGAAGGTCTTTTGGGAGTGATAAATTCTCAATTCTTACGGACTTGGTCCCTGACTCAGACAGTTCTGCCATTGACCCCAACCCACAGTGGCCACTCAGCTCCTCTCTGGGGAAACACGTCTTCTGCAATAGTCTGCTATATGTATTAATTTGATCCTTCGTGTTTTAAATCACATTTGCCGTTTTTCTTGAGTGTATCTTTTCCTTACTGCCACATTTCATAGGGCTTTGTAAGCCACTCCAAATGAGTCTTTTCTGACATATTACTAAATGGTTGTTGCCCCGGTGATGTCTGGGTATAGCTCTCCAGGAAGACACCTGGTGGTGAAGTGCAGAAGCATCTGAATTCTTCTGTTCTCCCCAGGCACACAGACACGGAAGCAGTCTTACCTTTCAGCCGCCCTGTTGCGCTTTTCAGAAACACACTCCCATCCCGCACCAGCTTCTTCCGTTTCAGATCCTCCTTGGCGAACATCTGCCCACTCTTCATTCTCATGATCGACTTGCTATCGGTCTTCGTGTAAATCTCACCGAGACGGACTTTCTTCTCATAACTTGCTACTTTGCTGTCCACGGCTCCAATCACATCCTTCACCAGGCTCAAGGACTGGGCCAGGTCTTCCTGCTCCACTTCATTGTCTTGGGAGGAAAGAAGTACTTTGAATGGCTCCTCGCACACAAGAGCAGACAGGAAGGAGTCTATACCATCACATTCCCCAGCTGTTATACTTTCATGCTGGAGCCAACACACCAAGTCACATGCTGACCTTTCCTGCTGCCCTAAGTTCAATTCTAAAGGAAGTTAGGTATTCTCAGTGCTATGGATGATATGCAATTATATGCTCCAAAGCCAAAGAAACCAATGTTTTAGAGAGAGAGAGCAGCAGAGGCAGGTAACGAGCTACTCAGTTATATCTTTGCCTCTCTTGCCTCGTAACTTTTGATGTAACTGCCTAGGAGAAGCAGCAGCTGAGAGAAACCACTACATACTGATTAAACAAGACAGAGTGACAATTTTAGCACTTACGGGAAGAAATGGTGGGAGATGCTGACCAAATTCAATGTTACCTGAACTAGTCCATGCTCAGGGCACTTAACGCTTTAACAGAACCAATACATGGTCCCTCCTCGGTATCGTACATCTACCCCAATTGTAGTGATTTAACACTCCAAGAGGTATTCCAGGGATTGAATCCAAGACCTTGCACAGACCTGGGAAGTAATCTAACAATGAGCTGTACCTCCAGTCTGCTATTCCAGGAACTAAATCCAGGACCTTGTGCATATCCTGCAATGGAATGGAAACATTGCAGCACCCAGCTGTGCCTCCAGCTCCTTCTCAGTTTTTGCCTTGATACAGACCTCACTGGCTGCCCAGGTCGGACTCAAATCTGATCTAAGTCCTAGCAGGCCTTAAATTTTCATCTTCCCTGCCTTAGACCAAGAGTCTAAGTCCACACAACTGTATCGCTGGGCGTATTTCCTTCCGTTCAAGAAAACTGTGTATCAGGCAGGTACAATTGTGTTTCCCTATAATTTTAGCACTTGGGAGGCTGTGCAGAAGCATCATGAGCTTGAGACTAGACTGTCCTACACAGTGAAACATGATCTCAAAAACTAAAGACAGCATCAAAATAAGTAGCCGTGAAAAGATGCTTACAAGATAAGATGCACCTGTAATCGTGGCACTTTTGGGGGAGGTGGAGGAAAAACTGTTGTGAATTTGAGGTCAACCTGGGCCACAGTGAAAATTTGTGCCCATAAGTAAATAAAGCACGGAGCTAAGCACAGACACCCTGGTAGGTCTGCTAGGGTAGGGCAGAGCTCTGCTGCACTGGTTTCCAGGCTATCTGGGTCTGAGTTACAAGGAGCTCACCTTTGGTACATTGCAGTATCCTCTGGAATAAAACTGGGTACTTGGTGATCCTCTGAGTTACAAGTAAAATGCACTCTGGAATCCCAAGCCTTCTCACTACTGAACTGCTCATCTTCTTCTGCAAAGGAGTGAAGAAACTGTTAGTCCCCGTGGAAGGTAGCTCTAGCCAAAATGAGTGCTTATGCTCTTGACCATGGTGGGGACACTTGTGTTTCAGGGCGTACCTTCACAAAGGCTTGGAAGCGCTTATCCTTTGTGTAGAGGTCTTTGAAGTAGTTGACAGACTGGTTGTGCTGCCCACAGAACTTGCCATAAGTCTTCTTTAAGCGCTCTGCATTCTCACCTGAAAACTGTCCCGGAAAGAAAACAGGAGTCACACCACAAGTCAGGGTATCATTTTATAGAAAATTCCCAGGCTTGCTGTAAAAACTAAGAGTTCTTCCTAATAAATTTCCGCAAAAGATTAAATGGTACAGCAGTTTTGGCCAACAGCTTGGCATTTTATCAAAGGGTTAAACACTGAGATCTGAGAAGATCCAGTGATCCGTTGTGTAGGTTTCTTCACTCACAACCGAGAGGCAGAAACGGAACTACTACCACAAACCAAGTGCCCTAGTAGGCCGAGTCCAGTACAGAGTAACAGGAGCAGCACTGGACTAAAGTTTCAGTCCCAGCAGCAAAGACTTCAGTAGGGTTTGGTACAACACAAGAAACTATAGACAAGAATACAAGTCAAGATGTAATACCTATACAGGTACTGAAGGCAGAGAGAGAGAAATGGGAAATGTTTGGAGGAGAGACATTTGGGGAATGTGGTTCTGCATTTGTCGAGCCTCCCGTTAGGCTCACTTTATAGGACTAGTCAACCTGCACTTGCCATATGCAAGGGTCTCACATGGAACACACAGTTGTTTGCATCATGCCTGTTTCTACAGATTATCTTAAGGCAGAAACCTCTGTTGTATTCAGCTGTGCAGTTTTACCCCCGGCATTTAACAGACAGCAAATCCTTCTAGAATGAGTGAATACACTGATCAAGTGAGGGATGTGAGCAAGGAGAAGATTTCTAATTCTCAGTTAAGCCTGTAATCCCAGTTCCTTGGGAGGTTCAAACAGCCTCAGAATAAAAGCAAAAACAGGGCTGGGGATGTAGCTCAGTGACAGGGTGCTGACCTACCATGTATGAGAAGTCCTTGGTTCAACCCTGAGTACTGCCCCAGCCCCAACAAAATTCTCATTCAACCGTTCCAGCAACTAAACCTCTGCACCTACACAGAAGCAGGGATCTACTGAGGGAGAAAGTTCTGGTCAAATGTGTATGATATTCTTGTCTGTTAGGTTTTATTAGCAACATTTCACTTTTAAAAACATTAAAAAAATAAACATCAAGAACTGCTCATGACATACATCCAAAAATACAAAAAATACTTTGTTTGTGAGCTTCTCTGGAATGGGACTGAAATAAAATCATGTCAAAAAAAAGAACAGTAACACATTTTACAAAGTGTTTCACAGATAGCCTATTGGTCAACTGCCTAAGTTTTAGCTGGTCTCAAGATAGATGGGATCCGCCCGGCGTTGGTGGGCGCTCACCTTTAATCCCAGCACTTGGGAGGCAGAGGCCACCTGTGAGTTCAAGGCCAGCCTGGTATACAGAGCGAGTTCCAGGACTGCTCCATAGCTACTGAGAAACCCCTCATCAAAAAATCAAATCAAATCAAATCAAAAAGAAAAAGTAGATAGACGGGATCCTTTTCAGATGAGCCATAGGGAAAGCTCAAGATTTCAATAAACATTCTTTTACTTCTTACCCAGTATTGCTTCTGATGACTGCATGGACTTAGAGAAAGAAAAACTTTTAGTATATACTGTATTATTATATATATTATATATACCTAACTTTCTAAAAATAGCATAAGCAGAGAACCCCTCTTTCCTTATTTTACAGAAAAGAAAATTGAGGGTTAGATGAACTCAATTTATTAAGTCTACAAAGAAAACCAGTAAAGCTGAAATATACATGTAGGGATCCAGAATCAAAAAGCTTCTCTGCTACCCTGAAGTGTGAGAATCCCAGACCTACCCGCTGCTCACCTGATTGACAAGCACATCCCCTATCCTCTTGACAAGAAAGTTCCTTTCACTTTTCTCTACCAGAGACTCCTTCTTCCGCTCCAGGATTCTCTGAAAGAACTGGCTGTGGATATTGATCAGTTCATCCAAACAAGGGAACAGCTTTTCCACCATCTGCTGCTCAAAGAGCAGATCTGTCATCATGCCCCGGCTGTACACATCACTCATGATCTTGAGCGTGCGGATGTGATGTAACTCTGTCTGCATCAACTCTATGAGAAGGGAAAGCAAGGGTCTTTCAGATCACAGCTAAGCTTGTGAGGTTAGCTCAGAGCCCAGCTGAGACTTTAACACCGAGCAAACAGCTGTCTTCCCCGGAGTAGGCTCATCTCATTCTGGCTTTTCACAGACCTAACATTTCTCTGATGACAGGTGTACTGAATTCGGACAGTCTGAAATGATTTTCAAAGTCCCTTCCTTTTACTATGTTTCTGCACTGAACTCAGTTCTTTTAACTTACTGTGTCCCTGCTTCCCAGAGCTGACGAATATTTTCCCTTTCTAGTGTAGCTCAAGAACAGAAATGCATTTTTAGAAGGCTGCTGTAGAGCTGCGCATGCAAATCTAAACAAACTGCTCAATGGAACGAGAAAGGAACAGAATGGGATACTACAGGGCAAAGTGAACAAAAGGCAATATCAAGTCTCCAAGCTGGGCAGTGGTGGTGCACACCTCTAATCCCAACACTCGGGAGGCAGAGGCAGGCGGATCTCGGTGAGTTCGAGGCCAGTCTGGTCTATAGAACTAGTTCCAGGACAGCTAGAGCTATTGCATAGAGAAACTCTGTTCCAACCCCCGTCCCCCAAATCACGTCTTCATACCTCAGTGGTTTTAATGGAAACTTTTATGATACTGCATATTCAACACTTAATTTTTATAGTCCAACAATCACTCATTTAAACATGCTGGACAGGGCAACTCCTCTTCAAGTTCCCTCCCCGGGAGGCAGGACAGTATCTCTGCCTCTCAATAACCCTCACTGTGTGCAAGCTGGATGGTGCAGATCACAAACAAGCAAAGCGAATGAAGCATCTCACCGTAAATCACCTCCTGCCGCTTGACCACGTCTTTCTTCTGCTGTTTAAGGAACTTGCTGTCTACTATGCGGCTCCAGGACTCTGCTTCTAGCTGTTTAGAGTCACTTTCAAAGTCTCCCATCAGCTGTCCTTCATTCATGTCTGTACCTACTCCTCAAAATACAAAAAAGCAACCTCAGGATCTTGGGGTTTTGATCTCTACAAGTCTGGATTTTCCTGCAGGTGAAAACAAGTTCCTAAGACAAATCCTCTGTCCTAGTGTAGAGGATACTCAAGGAGAATATACTAGGCAGGATCACTGTCAAGTTCAGGAATGGAAGATTCTATATTCAAGTCTGGTTTGGAATGATAAACATACATACATCTAGCAAGATTGAAACAATTCCTATGTGAAGCTGGAGCTTGAAGCATCCTGCTATCTTTATGGGCTGCATGTTCATCTGAGTACACTTACAATTGTACAGACACAGAACTGAAAGTGTGCAAAGTCTAGAGGAAGAAAAACATCCATACTAGAGTGTGTCTACGTTAAAATCAGTGTACCCTTCTGTGGAAATCCAACACCAGGACAGGTGCTACTGCCAATGCTTGGCACCGCAAGAGATGCTTTACAGGCAATTGAGAGACTCTTTCCAGGGAGGGAGGGAAAGAGCAGGCCCCGCTATTTGGTAATAGTGTGATAGGAGATGCACTGGATCCTTACAGCCGTTTAGTAATTCAGGCCAGAGTTTCCTCTTACCCTCATCAGTAAGTGATTCTGTTGACTCATTGACCTTGCAGATTTTATTCAGTGAGTCTGTTGAATGAGACAGAAATTTCCAGGTGTTTGACATGTTCTCATCATTGCCAACTCTACAGACAAAAAGAAGGACACACTGTCAAATACGATCTGATAAGCTGTGGTGCACATTCTTAGGTGAATCCCTAAAAAAACTCTAAAATGACAGTTAGTCATGGGTTTTATGATGACTTAAGACAAGCTACCTGGGTACATAGCAAAATGAAGCAGTACTAAAAAGTTTAGAGTGTTACCAATGCAAATTCAATCTTAGCCCAACTCTTTGAGGCTTTAAAAAAAGGTACACAGCATCATGTACACATTTATATAGAAAAATTAAAAATTTATCATAGGAGTTTAAGAGATGGCTCAGCAGTTAAGAACACCTGCTCTTTCAGAAGATCCGAGTTTGTTATCTAGTACCCATCTGGTGGCCCACAATCACCTGTAACTCAAGTTTCAGGGGATCTAGTACCCTCTTCTAGACTCCACAGGCGCCAGGTATAAACATGGGGCAAAGACATGCATACGGGCAAAACACAACACATAAAATAACTTTTAAAAACATTACATAATCACTAACTTTTTTTTCTTTTAAAAAATCTCTACCCCACAAACTACTGAGCATGTCAATAAATGGTAGTATTTGGGTCTTTCTACCTCAGCTCACAAGCTAGCACCGTGGGAACCAAGTAAATGCTTGTTCTAGGACACAACTGCAAGTGGAACTCATTCTAAACTCAGTGTTTCAGCCAGAATGTCAATGAGTCTGATGACATCACAACTTTGAAAAGACGACTTATGGAAGTCACAGAAATAGAGACAAAGAAGAATACCTGAGCTGCTGGTTTGGAAGAGAAAATATTAGCTAACACAGAGTTAGCAAAATACAAACAAAAGCAGACTTTGCATCCTTAGTCAGAAATTTTGGTCCAATCTATACCAGGAGAAATTTAAGAGGTATTAAGTCCTACATTTCTGAAGATGCATACTGGATGAATGGGAGGGAGGGAAGCATTTTAACCCAAACAGTTAACAGCATCATAATCATCCCTTTGCTAATAACCTGATAATCAATGCTGAACAACCCATGGCCTCAGCAGAGTTTGAAGAGGTTACAAATGGAACTAATGCAGCAAGAAGGACCCTAACTGGAACTGACAGCCCAGAGTTCACCACCATGATAAACTGACTTCAGAGATAAGGACAGAAGACAGATTTAAAAAGAAACAAAATCAGGTTCATCTGAATAAAACAAAGGTGTGATATCTAAGACATAGGTGGTTACAATGGGATATTCATGATTAAATCATCTTTTCCATGACTCAGGTTCTTCTAAAACTGGCTGGTCATGTACAAATGCCTAAAGCAATCTGGCTTGAACACGGAGCTCTCTGATTAAACATTACCAATCTAATTTATAAATATAAGTATAAATATAGTACATCAAAACCACAACTTCCAACCACTTCATTTGCGCCATCCAACTGTGTACCAACCCATAATTTTATACACCCATTTCTTTTTTTGTCAAATAAACTGATTATTATGTCCTTGTCACCCGTATGTCAATTGAAGACTCTTTAAGTCCACTTACCCAGTGATGTTCTGTATGGAAACACTTTTAGAGAGGGAGACACACTGCTGGGACCGCCTGTTAGTAAACATTGGTACAGCAGTGGCCTCTTCAGGCAAGAGGACTGCAGACCTAGGGCGCTCCTTGGGCTGTGAAGCTGCAAGGGAAGAGAGGACATGAATTGAAGCATCACCTTTCCAGATCCCTAGTGCTGACTTATTCCACAGATGCCACAAAGACACAAAATGTTTTCAATACATTAGCTCCTTAAAAAAGAAAGATTTAAAGACGGGGGTCTTCACATCCTTGGCTGTCCTTGAACTCAGAGATCCACCCAAGTGTTGGGATTAAAAGCATGTGCCACAACACCAGCTGAAGCTCTGGAAGCACAAATCAGGTCCTCTGGAAGAGGAGCAAACGCTTCTAACCAGAGACAACTCTCTAGTCCCTGCTCATTAATGGAAAACATGTATTTTGGTCAATTTCTTGGAATTATGGATGGAGAAAACTGAACAGCTGTTTAATGTCATACAGGTTATTAGGGAGTATTTTTCTTTAACATGAGCAAAGAGGAACTGGAGCTCTAATCTAAAATGATCACACGGCACATGGACACTAAATTATATCTCCTTGGTAAGTGAACTCCTATCATAGATGTAAATTTTTGTGTTTGTCTAATCCCCAGGAGGGTCAAGAGCTAAGAGAAAAAGAATATGGGGACTGGTATAATTTTGCAATATTATAGGATACCTTTAATAAATAACAGCACAATAATTAATAGCTAATTAAAATTCTATTTAGACAATAGAAACACGGTATGCTACAATATGACCAGGTCCTTGCTGCAGGAAGTACAAAGGGAGTCTAAGGTGTGGGCCTCTCGGAGATTATGCTTCAGGGTTTCCAGGGCACAGCATATCCTAAGTGTTTCAGAAGGGTGATCAGCGAGCAAATGAAATGTCAGAGAGGAAGAAACAGTGGTTCTCAGACTAGAGTGAGGATACAAACGGGCTAGAAGGAAAACAGAATATTCTGATGGAAAGAACCATAAGATCAAAGGGCAAAATAATCATAAAGAATTAGTGGAGAAAGAGAAAGAAGCAAGTAGAGGGAGGACACACACAGACACACACGGGGGGTTGGGGGGAGGAGCGCATCGGTGAGGAGAAGAACCAGAATGCTTATGCAGAGCCCTAAATAATTTGTACTTAAAAGCCTGCAGAAGACACAAATACCATGCAATTTGAATCCACAACTATACTCTTGTGTATGCAAGTGTGCTTGCCCATCCATGACAGTTCATGTTGGAATGTGTTCCTCAATAGCTTCTAAAACCTATTTTTTTTTTTTTTTGAGAGAGAGAGGGTCTGTCACTGAACCTCATTTTGACTAAACTGGATCAGCGTTTTGACTAACCTGGATGGTCAGCAATTTCCAGGTATCTGCCTGTCTCTGTTTCCAGGACCCAAGGTTACAAACATATGCCACCATATCCAAACCCAAACTTGGGTCCTCATGCTTGTCCAACAAGCACTTTACACACTGAGCCATCTTCCCAGATCCAGAATTTGTACATTTTTTTAAAAAAATATTTATTTCTTATGTATACAGTGTTCTGTCTGCATGCATGTCTACTCACCAGAAGAGAGCACCAAATTTCATTATAGATGGTTGTAAGCCACCATGCAGTTGCTAGGAACTGAACTCAGGACCTCTGGAAGAGCAGCCAGTGCTCAATCTCTGAGTCATCTCTCTAGCCCCAGAATTTGTACTCTTAATCACCATAATTCTGGCATTCCATCTTATCCTAGTTAGAAAGGCTATCCTCAAGGGAATAAAATCAACAAATGACGATGAGGATGCAAATGGAAAAAAAACTATATTATACTGCTGGGAGGAATAACTTAGGACAGCCATCATGGAAATCAGTGTGAAGTCCCCACAGACTAAAAATGCAATTTCTATCCATCCAGTCATACCACTTATGGGTGTATATCCAAAAGACCCAGAGTAAGGCTACTATAGGGATGCCTAAACATCACTGTTTACTGTAGCACTATTCACAATAGTCAAATCATGGAATCAGCCCCAAAATGACTATCAGTGGGTGAATAGAAAAAGAAAATGTGATATAATGGAGTTTTATGTGGCCAAAACTCAGGAATGAAATTATAATATTTGAAGGAAAATGTTTAGTGAGACAATTCTACAAAAATTAGACTTACATATTTTCACATATGAAATTAAAAAAATGGCAGGGACTTGAAGGCAAAATGAGGTCCTACTACAGACGGCTAAGGTGAAAACAAGGAGGATGGAGATAAGAAAAGCTATGGGAGGTGTTCTTAAGGTACATTTTATATACGGAAATCTCATAACAAAACCCAGCACCCCATAGATTACTATCAATATAAACAAGAAAGTTCTCTGTGAGGGTCAGAGGCAATCTACATAAAAGACTGTGCTTCTGAAAGATATTTTAAAAGTATTTCATCTGATGGGAAAGAAAACAGGCTTCTGAAATAGCTGGTAACATCACAGAAAAAGGTTTCAAGATTAAGACTGCCTAAGGAAGCTGGATGACAGACTGAAGTGGGTGTCAGTCTAGTAGCTGTCTCCATACAAGGATAGATGAGAACCAGACTTAATATGTCCACAGGGAATTCATTCTTTGTGGTGTACAGATCGGCACAGTCATTTTCACGAGCTCAGGAACTGCAGGAGAGAAATAAGGCACAAGCTGTGCTTCCAGCCTTCAGTGGGCATCAAGATCACTCAGAGGAACTACTAAAACCTAGACCACAGGGCCCTACCGCAGTGTCTGACTCTCAGGGATAGATGGGGGTCTCAGAGTATGGCATGTATTGATTCAGCTACATGTTGAAAGCATTGCTCTGGTAACAGCACAGGTTCCCATGGAGCCAATTCAGAGAGGATAATTAGCACTGCATTGCTTACGGTAGCAGCTGAAAGTAATTAAAACACAACATTTGCTCATGAAATAAACCACGCAGCAGTCTGAAACAATAGCAATAGTAGCTCTGAAAACGACAGAGTGAACTAGTGTATGAAACAACCTTTTCAAAGATACAGATGACTAAGAGATAGGAGATCAGAAAGATATGCACTAAGTATATTAAATGGGTATGAAAGAGCATGGGGAGTGAAAACATTGCCAATCTGAAGTGAAATCTTTCACAAGACGGTAAAGATGAGTTCTGGTTTCTTTTTAGATTTTAGAATTTATTCTGTGTGTGTGTGTGTACACACACATGCCACAGAGTCCATATGGAAGCCAGAGGACAACCTGTTGAAGCTGGTTCTCCTACTATGTGAGTTTTAGAGACTAAATTCAGCTGTCAGGTTTGGCTGAAAATCCCTTTACCTTCTCAGATCTCTTATCTAACTCAAAGTAGTTTTTAAAATTAAAATAATTACATTTATTATTATTTGCATGCAGAAGAGGTCAGAAGACAACTTGTGGAAGTTTGTTCTCTCCTGAAATGTGGGTCCTGGGACTGAACTCGGGTAGTCAGGCTTGACAGCAGACACCTTTACTTGCTTGAGTCACCTTGCCAGTCCTCAAGATTTTTTTTTTTTTTTTTACGTGTGAGGGTAGAGTATGATTTACACAGTTTTATATAATATTTGAGAACCTTGGGAATAACAACGAAAGAGTCATTTACATAATTTCACATGCTGTATATAAGTTTAACCAGTAAGAGCTCCTTTGTGTCCCACTGATGTGAGGCACTAAAATCAGTCACTTTCTCTGGTGCTGAAGAGGAGACTGAGTTGCACGGGAGTAACCTGCTCCAGTTCCCCTTTCAGCTAAGGCACATACTATGACAGACACCTTCAAGAAGGGTTTGAGGGTATAATGATAAGCTGCTGGTCAATGAATGCGACAGAACAAAGTGGTAAACAATATAGGTAGAGGATCTTGCTAGTTAGCTTAGGCTAGCCTCAACAAGCAAGCGTCACAAAAACATCGAATCTAGAAGAAGTCCGAGTGTACTTCTGAGAGGCGTGCTGAGCTACTTACATTTGTTTCTCATGATGACTGTGGGCAGTGACGATGTGTCATGTGCCTGGAGGCTCCCTTTGGGCTGCTAACGAGAAAAGAAGGTACAAACATGAGACCACACTGACAACTCATCCTCCACAATTCTCCAGCAGTCGCGAGTAAAAGGAGACGGTGCTGGACCATGGCCACCCCCACCTGTCATCCTTTGGGCTCACCAAGCACTACAGATGCTTAGGTGTGTGCCACCCCATCTCAGGATGCTTTTTGTCATCTATGTAGGTATGACATTCTTCCACTTGCAGATGCTCTAAGTACTCTCTCTTTGCTAAGGTCACCAAAGCCTTTCCTGACTATAGAAACTGCCTGTCCATACCCACACTGCACTGTCAGTTACTCAGAGAACCAGCTGTATCTGTTCGTTCTGTTTATTTGGTGACTAGCATTTGTAAAATGTTACATTCTTAGAGAGAATACTAATTTTAGTTTTGTGAGGGCATGCATAAAAAATAGTTTGGGAAATTACAAACTGAAGCATTTACTCTGAAACAAATCACTAGGAGGAAACAGACCACTTTCATTTTAAAATGAAGACTATAGATATTACAACCATACACAAAAGAGACGCTATTCTCTGTGTCATCACTGCTCTCCAGAGCCCAGCACACTCACAGTAACAGTCTTATCTGAGACCATGAATGCAGATGACTGGGTGGTCAGACAGATGATAATGGCAGAAGCAGGAGCAGACAAGAAGTACAAGTAGGCATCTGGGAGGCTCTTCCCTTCAACAGTATCCACTGGGCACCCACGATTGTTCTCTGACATACAATCCTTCACATTTTAAGACTCTATCATATATCTGATGCTATTCGAGGTTTTCAGTGTACTGTATTCACAAATCAAAGATTCCTGCCTTCCTGATTATGTTCTAGTGGGAGTAAGGTACACACTTAAAAAACAAAAAGACAGGAAAATAGGGTCCCAGAAGACCCGTAACACGATGAAAAAATGGGAAGAATGTGATGAGGGGAGCTGGGATTGCTGGGTGACAGGGCAGCACCAGTGAGCTGAGGGCTGCAGAAACTTCCAATTTTGGGGGAGAAAATAGAAATCCAAATTGGTATAAATTTAATTTCTAAGTCTTTGCACCTAAAATTTTAAAGTGCAGCATGAGTCTCTGGGCTGGGAAAATTCAGATACAGATACAGCTATCTTTATTAGTCCAGCACCACCCAGAGTGAGGGCTGAGCACGATCAACATCATTTGGGAACTCCTCAGAAAAGCAGACTCTTCAGTCCATTCCCAACTGAAAATCCTTTGGGAGAGCGGTTACAGCAGCAAATTTCTTTGAGTAAGATCTTGAGATGATTCTGATGCACACTTAAGACTGAGCCACTGCACTAGGTAATGCGGGTACTGATGAACATCTGTGTAGACACATCTGGAAATCCTCTATGGGAAAACATTCTATGTCTAGTTGAGACTGACAGTCCACAGGCTACCTGAAGGACATGCTTTCAAGTTCATATGGCACCAATATTGGTACTTCCTGTTCTTGTCTCATGTCATCTCTGCCGTCCATATGTGCTTTTGGAGAGCCCTCCCCATGCCCATCACATATCAAAAGCCTCTGATTTCCATCTGTTGCCCTCATGCTCCTAGATGGGGAAGCCAGACATTTCAGTTGCGGAGTATATTTGCAGAGCTAGTCAAGACAATCACTTAAACAGAAACAGAGAAATGTTTAATATATGAAAGTTCTACAAAACATTTCATTTTCTTTTTTTTAATATTTATTTATTTATTATATATACAATATTCTTTCTACGTGTATGTCTACAGGCCAGAAGAGGGCACCAGACCTCATTACAGATGGTTGTGAGCCACCATGTGGTGCTGGGAATTGAACTCAGGACCTTTGGAAGAGCAGTCAGTGCTCTTAACCACTGAGCCATCTCTCCAGCCCAACATTTCATTTTCTTTAAAAACTTTTTTTGAGACAGGGTTTCATTTTGGTACAATGGCTAATATCAAACCAAGGAAACCATCCTGCCTCAGCCTCCCAAATGCTGGGATTACAAGTGTGAGTCTCTAGCTCAGCAATTCTTTTATTCAAAGTCTCAAATTCTTGAATGTGTTAATCAAGAAGGGGGCTGATCATTTTAAAGAGCAATTATCTTTAATTTGGTATCAAAATTGGCACCAAATGATTAAAACAAGCAAACAAACAAATCTACTACAATCTAAATTCTAACATGTGGGTATTTTCTATTTTAAAGCACTGGATTTTGAGCATTCTAATAGCTAGAGATATCTTACCTTCATTTTGACCTTTGCACAGGATGCTAGATTTTCTCTGCAGCCTTTGTGGACAAAAGCACTACAACCTGGAAAGGAAGCATAAGGCAAGGTCACAACAAGAAAGCCAGCAGGTCCTGAACTCCGACACTCCACCACTGCTGCATGGAGCTACAGACTTTCACTCACACAGAACAAACATACTCATTAACTGACAGTACATTTTACAGCTATTTCCTAGGAAGCAGGTGTACTTCTGATTAACCAAAAGAAGTCAGGAATTTCTCAGGCAGGAAGTCCGAGAGGCTATGTAGTGGCATTTCATTTGTATTTTAATAAATAAAACTTGCCCGAGGATCAAAAAGTAAAATAGCCACACTGGCCAGTCTTACAAACCAGGCAGCAATGACACACACTATTAACCCCAGTAGCCACACTACCTCGCCAGAGAAACCAGGTGGTAGTGGTGCACGCCCTTTATCCCAGAACTAGAGAGAATTATAAGACGGGAGGAGACAGCTTTCAGTCTGAGATTCCTGGAGGCAGGATTGTCATTTAGGACTGAGGTCAAGGAAAGAGTCAGTGGCTGACTATTTTGCTTTTCTGACCTTGAGGTTGAAACCCAATTTCTCTGAGTTTTTATTAATTGTGCTTCAGGGTTATGATAACTCAGAGTTTAAATGTCTGCCATCAAGATATTATGTCTATAGAGCCCAGAAAGACTGGAGCTGAAACTGACCTACCCGTCTCCTCTTTAAGGAGGAGGTACCAGTAGGGGCCATGCAAACATCCGAAGGAGTGAAGCATCCCACAGTCCTACCACGCTATGACACCTATGAACCATAATGGCCATGATGGCACGGTAATCTTATCATGTGCAGCAGTGGCACACATACAGGAGTGGCAGTAACCAAAAGTTCACCAAATGGACTTAAGGCCCACTTAACAAGAGGAAACCTAGCCAACCACACATAGCTACTGAAATCATGGATTCTGGGGAAGAATCTACAGACACCACTTTACTGAAACCAGCACACTCTTAACTATGTTCTAAATATTTGTCCTTACACTCATAGATAAGCACAGTTCTTAACCCTCATCAGGGAAACTCTTCTTTGCAAGAGACAAAGACCATTATGGAAAACTATAGCCAAGCAAAATGCAGAGCTGTGGATTCAATCTAGTCCTACAAAACAACTACGAACCTACAGAACAACTCCTACACCTTAGGCTCAGGAACACTGCCAAAGATGGGGTGGAAAGGCTCTAAGAGCCAGAAGATCAGGAAATTTGCTGTGAGACTGAATGCCCCAGGGAAGAGCACACTGATTGGTTATCCAATACCAAATGGCCAACCATAAAGACATATATACAAGTAACATTATACAGACCAAGCAGGGTTTATTTGTATATTTAGGAACGCATACACACACACATAGAGATTTAAGAATAATTACTGAAAAAAAGAGGCCATGAATTTGAAAATGAAATAGGAGGTTGAAAAGGGAGGGAGAAATGACATAATTATAATGCAAAAATAAAAGAAATAATGAAAAGATGTTATATTTAAGTAATAAGAAAATATATAAAACTGCTAAAAGGAGCTGTGAAAGTTTCAGAAGAACCTGAAAGTTTACCCTTCTTGAGATCTTGAATACTCAAGCCTTTTGTACCCCATTCCCTGAGTCAGAGGCCATGTAAGAAAGGTAACTACAACTTTCCCAAAGAACCCCTGGGAACCCTGACTCAAGAGAATGTGGGAGATTTCCTGAGACGAAACAGATTCAAATTTACCAATGACACATTTTATCTTAAAGTATTTTCTTACTTTCCATTCCCGTGGCCTACAGGGGCCACTGATGTAAAAATCCTGCATTCTGTGCCTCAGAAAGGTCATGGGCTCTTCCTGCTACGATTAAGTCATAAAAACAGACTGTGCCCAGAGGCCAGAGGCAAAGCACAAACAAGCAGAAGATCTGTCTTTGGGGACATCTGAAGAGGCGTGTGTCTCCTGGGAAAGGCTCACTCAGAAAATCAGTGACAGACAGCATTTCACTAGGTATGACTGCTTCAGGGAGTACCACAGGCAGGTCTTGTCCTAGCCAACAAGGTCAAGATGCTCTTGGACTTGGAAGCTTGGACTTATGGGTGTTAGGGTAGGAGGAACTTGCTGCTCTGAAGGAGACTGCCAGAAACCCAGACCCCAAAGGCCTTTTCCCCATTCCTTCGGCAGCGCCTGCTTGGTTGGCCCAGCAGTCACACTGGGCTGGGATTTTGTCAAGCTTTTTACCTCACTGAGGATCTTTAACTCTCAAGTGCAGTATCCGGATCACGACATATATTTGAATGGCTGCGTGGAAACCCACAGGCCATTCCACTTTATGTCAACCAAGTACCCCGACACAACCTTCATTACTGCATTTGAAATTTACCATGTCAACTTAATATCATGCAAAAGAGAACAGGACACATAGCAGGTAAATTACATTTGAATTCAGGTCCTAATTCTGATTACCACCATAAACCCCAAGTACATACTTCTCCACAAGCCTTGGTTTCCTTGTTTACAAAACAAAAAGAACCACATTCCCCATTTTAAGTACGGTGAAGACATGGCAAGGAAGAAGCATCATCTAAAACTGATACATTTACTTTGGAAAGTCATTTTCCAACATCTAGTGAAGTCCAGTGTGTGCCAACTTTAAGAACTGGCACCAAGTCTGGTGCCACACACATGGACACAAGGATGCCCTCATGGCCCTGTCTGTCACAGAGACAAAGTGAGAGTGACCCCACATCCTAAGCAGAACAGCCTGAAGTCTGTAAGAGAGCTCCACAGATGAGCTAAGGGCCAGGTTCTGCACCTATGTCGTCAGGATTCCTCTAAAGCAGAACATTGGGGAGAGGAATGGACACTGCAAAGTGAGATGCACGGCAACAGTAACCCAACTGTTAAAGGTAAATTTCGTTCCTATGAGATGCAATTATAAACCATCGATTACAAAGTGCTTTTCTGTAGGAAGAATGAAGACTGGCACAGGGAAACGAGGTCAATTTTAACTGGGAAGGGTTGTTTCTTAGAAAATGAAGGATGAAGTACTGTGTCAAATGCTGTCTTCCTTCCTTCCTTCCTTCCTTCCTTCCTTCCTTCCTTCCTTCCTTCCTTCCTTCCTTCCTTCCCTTTCTGTGGTGATACATGTCACATCTAGGGTCTCATACTGTCTAGGCAAGCACTCTACCATTGAGCTATATATTCTCTATTTTGAGCTGGGGTTCAAAAGGTTCCTATTACATTGTCCATTTATAATATCTGTATTAATAGTCTTTAAATTAAAAACATCGGTGCATTAAACTTTATCACCCTCAAAAGCTCCTTAGATTCCCTTATTCTTTAAAAACAGCAATTTACCACGTTTGTGATGCATTATTCTGAAATATGAATTTCAGCATCACAGTTATAAGATGAATCTTTTCTCTTGTTTTACTCTAAGTCTGTAATATCTGGGGCATCAACAAGAAATACAAGAGGCAAAAGGTTTGCTTGGGAACTTGTCACCACTTCTGATCTGCAAATGGGACAAACTGAAAAAGCCCAGACAGAAACCGCTTCCAAGCATCCCTGCCTCATTCCTCTCCTCCCAGTCTCAGCACCCCGCAAAGGGCTAGGCATTAGTTTTTAAGGGGGGCACTGTAACTTTTGAGCAGACTTCAGTAGTTCTTAAGTTCTTGGGCCACTGTCTGAGAACAGTTCCACTCTGTGAGTCACAGAAGAATAAAGAACATCTTGGATTTGCTTCCAGTAGAACTTTTAAAGAAATTCATGTTTTTAGTTAACTGCCTCTAAACCCACAATCTAGCTGAAATTTTACTATGCCCAGTATTACAGCCACAAGTCTCAGTGACAAACAGTTCACATGGCTGCCTGTTTACCACAGTGAAGCACCTACTCGAAAACACTAAACTCATCACCAAGTGGTCCTGGACTCAATCCATAGGATGCTTTTAGAGCTAGGCGTGAGTGATTTAGAAACTGCTAGTCTCAGTGACATCAGCCAAAGTCATGAGATTTAAAGCCGTATCATCTGTTTTAAAACAGACAATTGCCCAAAACACAAGACTTGAAGACAAGTCTAATAGATTTTTTTAAGCACACTGCCACAAACCATACTAAGTTGTTAGGAAGGTCAAAGAAAACTTACTTGGGCGGGGAGCTGGTACCCACCTTGGCTGCAGACTGTTCTTTGCCTAAGTACTTCTTACTCTCAATGGCTGTGCTTAAATCTATGCTAATCCTTTTTTTTTAAAAAATAAACTTGTTAAATGTTCATAAAAAAAGAAAAAACTGATTTGGCTTTCTTTATATTTAATACATTCCCCAAGCTCAGTAAGTATGATTTCATCTTTTCAAAATTCTTTAAAAAAAAAAAGTCACAAAGTACAGTAGTTTGTAGGCTTAGAGCTGACCCTTTATCACATTTCTTTGAAATAAGTCAACAGCTCAGCCTGCATCTATTCGTCTATCTATCTTCTCCCCTCCTGCCCTCTATAAGGAGACATCCAACAAAAGAAAATGGAGTACATTTACATGCCTGGCAGTGATCATTTATTTGTTGCTTTCTTCTCCCCTTTGGCAAACTATCCATCAGACAGCTTTGGTGAAATGTTATACGCTGCATTTTTTTTTTCAGCAGAAAAATTGTCATTTGCAGCTAGACTTTTGAAGAAAAGAACATTCAAGTACTTTAGTGCACTGTTCTGTCTACTAGCGGCAAAAATCTATGGAAAAAGAATAATTTGATCTTTTTTAAGGACACATGGAAGAATGGCCTGTAAGAACAAATAGAAACATTTTCCTCCTATGGGAAAATGGAAAACTCTAACTCTAACAAAAAGGAAAGAAACACCACCAGAAACAAAGCCAAACCAACCAACCACACAACCAACCCACGGGATGAGCAGTCACTCAGAAACACATGCTCCAAAACTCTTGCTGCAACGTCTTGTTTAAAGTCACTGGGGACTTTCAGGCGCTGTCTCGTCTGGACCGATAGTGCTTGTATGCGAAAAGCATGTGCGAGGTTCTTAGTAG